ACCCCAAAATATTTTTAAACATATCCCAATTATTAACAGATAGCACAATTGCAAGGAGATAATTTTAAAATTGTTAGTTAACTTCACTGATTTATTGCAAATTTAGTGAGCTCTGACATATGCTTAAAGTCAGCATAACTTTAGTTTTAATAGTTTCCCTTTTGAAAAATTCTTAAAAATAAATATATCTCTAGAAATATAGGCTACATTAAAAGAATGTGCTATAATATAATATCTCATTTTTCATTGTCTCTGGTTTCACTTATTTAAAGTAGTTATTGTGTAATGTGTTTCCTATCAAAATGTAACTTTTTTCCACAATTCCCTTTGTTAGATGAACTTCTGCCAAATCTTTTGTAAAATTCATTTAGTGGAAATATAAAAGAAAAAAATAAAGCATTTATATTTAGTCCCTGAGAATGCATTTATATTGGATTTCAAAATTTACAAGGCATTTCATAGGTATTATCATTGCTATACTTATCAACATTTCTATGATGTATCATCATATCCCCTTTTGAATGAATAAGAAGAAGCTTGCAAATGTGAAGGGAATAACGTGGTATGTCACATAAGTGTTGGAACTAAGATTCAAACCTAGATCCTCAGAGCTGAAGTTCAATATTCTATTGTGTTATTGCTGTGATTGTCTCTTCCTTTTTGTACAGTGGCCATGTAAGTAAGGAAGTCACTGGTTCCCAAGGAATGACCACTGATACTTTCTCCAGTAGGTGATCTAACACATTTCCACATTTCTTCTTTCTTTTTCTCCACCACTGATAAGGAATAGTACTTAACTAGGAACTTGATTGTGTCTCAGGAAATTCATGAAGATCAAGATTTTTGTTTTGAGGTTCTCAGTTTGTTTTCTAGTGACTAGGAATAGACCAAGTTGCTCTAGTCTTAGAATGAAACCATGTATACAGCATTTTAAGGAAAATTCTAGAATTTAAAACCATGCATAGAAGTTATTCTATTAGCATTATCTAATCCTACAGAATATTTGTATTGTTAGTATACTTCATGTATAATTCTATAATCCCAAAATGAGGTCATAAAGACCCAGAACATTATTTAAGTACATTTTTAATTGTATTTTGGGCATGTTGATTAATGCCGTATCTTACCTTAACCTATAGAGAATTACATTAAACCTGGTACCTAAAGAGAAATCGACTGATTTGTTATCAAAGCTAATTGCAATAACAAGCTTATGTCATCACTTCATGAAGCCTATTGATTTGAAAATAACTGTAATACATAAGAGGTGTGTGCACTTTTGGGGTAATTTTCACAAAGCAAACACCCGATCCTTTTAAAACAAAAATGCACATGCTAAATTGAGCCAAATACATTTGGTTTAGAAAAAGATGTAAAATTAAAGCACTTTTAATTTTGCCTTTTTACTCTGCATTGTGTCTTCTCTGCTCAGCATTTGCTATGTTCCTAAAAGCAGTATAAGCTATTACTAAAACTGTATAAACACAGACTAAATGTATTACATGATTTTAGAATGATAGCATGCTTAGGAAAGCAAACGAATATAAGGAGCTCAAATTCAAACATTTTTTAAAAGATAGAAATGTATAGTTTATTTGTTAATTAATTGAACAGGCCTTTAACGTGTTTGCAGTTCTGTTGCATTTGTCCTACAACCAGAAATGCAACACTGTTCTTGCAAATATCATATGTAATTCTTGAAGAGACTGCAGTCTGTCATTACAGATAGATTGATAGCCTGGATGATATCATTGAACTTTTGTCATGCCGAACCTGGAAGACTTGCTTTGTGTCAGAGAATTTTTGTCATTCATCTTGCTTTTGAAAGGCCAAATTTATTTGCAACCTTGAATGACATTGGACACATGAAGCAGCCTGAAATCTATCATGCAGTGAGTATCCTATAAAACTGCAATTTAAAATCCTAAGTATTGACTTGGTTTTCAGAACTACCTTCAAAGCCAATGACTTTCAAATTTTTTATTTATGTAACCTGATTTTCAATGGATAACAAAAACTTTATGTTTTTATTTATTTATTTTTCTGAGTACATCAGGTCACCAAACATCTGCCATGCTTTCTTTACTTGTGAAAGAAAAGTAGAAACCAACAGAAGTGGAAATACATGCATATATTTTTATATATTAATATCAATATGTAACTGACAAGCACTAGTAAGGAAGTCTATCCTTTGGTTGGCTTGTTCAGATATTTTTTTAAAAATTTCAGATTGTACATAAGTACAATACAGTTGCATGAAAGTAATGCTATCAAAAGAAAAGCAAAATTGTTTCTGAACTTTCTGTAGAAAAAGAAATGTGGTATATGTGACTATCCTATATAATAAAAGCCTAATATGCTAAGTGTCTGGTCATTCGGTCGCCTTTCAACCAATCAAACCTTAATATGCTAAGGCCGCTCAACCACTCGGTATGACATGCACTGACCACCAGAGGGCAGAGAGTCGACTGGTCAACCACTTGCTATGACGTGCACTGACCACCAGTGGGCAGATGCTCCAACTGGTAGGTTAGCTTGCAGTTGGGGTTCAGCCAATTGGGACTGAGTGAGATGGGCCAGACATGCCCTGGAGTCCTCCCACGGTCCCTCCCTGTCTGGCCAACCTCCTGTGTCCCTCCCCAGCACTGATTATGCACAAGTGGGGGTCCCTCGGCCTGGCCTGTGCCCTCTTGCAATCCAGGACTCCTTGGGGGATGTTGGAGAGCTGGTTTCAGCCCGATCCCGCAGGCCAGGCTGAGGGACCCCACTGTTGCACAAATTCGTGCACCAGGCCTCTAGTAAATGTATAATTCCATCCATATGAAAACTGAATTTATGTTCAATACAAACAAAACAAGAAAGAAATTGAATGTCTACTATGAACCAGGTTTGAATTCTCAAGTATAGTAGCTAATGTTTAGCTAATAGTAATAATAATAATAATAGCTACTATGTACAGAGTTTGTATGTAAGATCTCAGACCCAGATGGCACCACAAATAAACTCTTCCAAACATTTAAGTAAGAAATTATAATAATCTCACAGGTTCTTTCAGAAAACATCGGAGCAAAAACTTGCCCACTTGTTCTATGCATACAGTATAATCTGGATACCAAAAATTATCATGAATATTCCAAGAAAGAAAAAGTTCAGGCAAACCTCTCTTCTGAATATAGTCACAAAAATCCTGAAAAATATTAGCTAACAAAATCCAGGAATATATAAAAAGCATAGTGTATCATGGCCAGGTTACTTGCAAGGGATGAAAAAACAACAACAATGTAAATCATCACATTAACAGAATTAACAAGAAAAACTATATAATTATTTTTATAGATTCAGAAAAATCAGTAAATAAGATGTTGCACCTGTTTATGATACAAATACCTAAGAAACTTGGAGTAGAAAGGAACTTTCTTAATCTGGTGAAAGTAGTTTTAAAAAACAACAACCCTATGGTACACATCATACCTACAATGAAATGTTGAAAACTGTCCTTCTGAGTTCAGAAGTAAGACAAGGATGATCATTGCCACCACTTCTATGGGCCATTCTACTTGACCCACTAGTCAAAGAACCAGTATTTTAAGTATTGGACAAATGGACAGAGTAATTGAGCAAGCATTTCAATAAGATGTTATCCCAATCACCAATAACATGAAAATGTGTTTAACCTAATTGTCACCAGAAAAATGAAAATTGAAATGATAATGTAATACTATTATACATGCCTCAGAAGAATAAAAATGAAACAAAATAAAGCAGAATATCCCAAATGTTGGCAAGGATGAATGGCATCTGGTCTCTAATACACACTGGTGAGAGTGTAAATTAGAATAACCGCTGCCCTAGCTGGTTTGGCTCAGTGGATAGAGTGTCATCGGCCTGTGGACTGAAGGGTCCCCAGTTTGATTTCAGTCAAGGGAACATTCCAGCATTGTGGGCTCAATCGCCAGTAGGGGGCATGCAGGAGGCAGCTGATCAATGATTCTCTCTCATCATTGATGTTTCTATCTCTCCCTCTCCCTTCCTCTCTTAAATCAATGAAAAATCTATAAAAAGAAAAGAATAATCCCTTTAGAAGATTATTTGGCTATAAACTATAAACTAGAGCATATAATATCAGTCCCAGCAATTTCAGTCCTAGATATTACCCAGTAGAAATGCATATGTGAGTTTATTAAACACATGCATGAGAATGTTCATAGCAATAGTTTTTATAATAACCAAGAATAAGATAATATCCAAATTCCCATCAAATGTGAAATATATACATTGAAATGGTGGCATATTCACCAATTTGAATAATACAGGATGGGGCAAAAGTAGGTTTACTAGTATACTTGTACATATGAAGAATAATACAATAATTAATAAATAATAATACAAGAATAAATTCTGTTTTACATACATACATCTGTAAACCTACTTTTATCCCACCCTGAATAATACAGGAATAAGAATGAATGAACTACAAGTATATGCAACAACATGGATGTAGCTCCTAATAGAATGCCAAATGAAAAAAGCCACACACACAAACGCCAAGCAAGGATATATATATATAGTTAAAAAAGAAAAAAAACTAACCTGAAGAATTTAACAATCAAGATAGTGGTTACCATCAGTCAGTCAGGGCAATCCTTGGGTGCTAGTAATGTGGTTTTACTGTGGTTGTATTGGGATAGTCTAAATCTGAAAACTCTTTGAACTGTATACTTAAGATTTGTATATTTTTCAGTGTATGTGACCCACTTCAGTGAAAAGTTAACTAAAAATAAACCAAAGCAATCTTAACAGCTCTACAGCCAGGATTTAAAGTCAGTTATATCATTTGATTAGAGTTCATTATCTCTAATTAGAATAATATATAGTTGTATTTCATTTCATCTGAGGTCAAAGAATAATATCATTCTGTACTGGTACATTTTAGAAGAGCCCCGGAAATCTTTTTGTGTCTATTTATAGGAGGCTAATTCTGTTTAAATATTTAATTGCAGATATAAATGAATGTGCCATTGACAATGGTGGCTGTCAGAACCAATGCTGTAATACCATTGGCAGTTATTACTGCAAGTGTCAAGCTGGCCAGAAGCTGGAGGAAGACGGCAGAGGATGTGAAGGTAACGGTTAGGACTGTCTGCTTACTGATAAGGGAAGAGAGAACATCTATGGAATGCGAAGGAGAGGGTTTGTCTTTTATCCAGAGGCAGTTGAAGTGCCTGTGTTGAATGTTGTCAAGAGCTCAGATCTTCCTCTCATGTCTAGATTACAAAATTGTAACCCTAAGAACACTTCAAGTAGCTTATTATAGGAAACATATGATTATATGCTGGTTTGGTTGTGTCATGTTCTGAATATGGAATTTTAATCATTCATTTAAATCCCTGAAAAGTACTTGTTTTTGAAAATATTTCATTTAATTCTATAGTCAAAACGGTGCTTATCATAAAATGCTCATATGTTGCTACAATAGAAATGGCAAGGCACAAAACTAACCACAGAAATTGTATTCTTGGCGTCTTCTTAGCTTTTTTTTTTCACACAGACTTCAATTTTCTGTCTCTTTTAAAATGAAGTCATTCCTTCCTTTATTTATTAATTCATCATTTTGTTCATTTGACAGTCATTGAGTTTCTGCTCTGTATCAGGCATTATCCCATGCTTTGGGATATAAAAATTAATGAGAAATAAATTCTGCCCTGAAGGAGTTCACTGATTAGCAGCAGTGAAGATTGAAACATAAGCCGAAGCCTTGCAGAAGGCTGTTTTAAGGTATTATGGCATGGGGATAAATCCACTGGATTCAAGGGGGCCTAGGTTTGAGTCTCAGCTCTGCCACTTACAATTTACCTAACCTTGGGCATGTTATTTAATCTTGCTAAGACTCTTTTCTCATTTGTAAAATTTAGGCTAATGGTAGTTCCTAAAATCCCAAAAGTTGCTGTGGGAATTAAGTAAGATAATGCATCTAAAGCACTTCGCACAATAGTGGCTTATGGAAGCATTCAGATGGGAACTATGAATCATACTCTCATTTGTGAACTCAGTTGTTGCCCATGTTGGGAATGTAAGAGGAGCAAAAGACTGCTTCCTTTGTTGTTCTCAAAAAGGGGAGACATGGACACTAAAAAGGATTCCTGGACTTTCCCAACTTATTTTTTTTTCCTATCCATACTATCAAAATGCCTGAGTATTTTATTAGGTCACTTAGAAATTCATTTATTCTAACTGTGGTTTCCTATTGATCTTACACACTTATATTCATTTTTTTTTTACCTGATAATATCTATTCCTGATGAAGCATATATGAGTAAGCTCATAGGAGAAAACAAAACAACAAAAGACATTCAGCTGAAAGTGGTTGGGGCTGGCTGTTGGCTTGATTGGGACTGCCGAGACCAGACAAGCTATTGGTGTGAGTAGGCAGGACCACCCGTTGGTGGCTGCTGGGCTGGAGGATTTTTCAGACTCTCAGGGAGGTATGTGCTTCAGTCCTTCTGGCAAGGCTCTGGCAGACAGCCACAAGAGGGTTCTAGGTAGGAAGCCAGATGTTCAAGTGCAGCTGCATCTGGGCCTTTCCAATACAGGTTTCACCCCAAGCAAGGCCCTCTGCCAAGAACAATATCCTATCTAATAAAAGAGAAACATGGTAATTAGCCACATCCGCTCCCCTTCCCATTGGCTAATCAGGGCGATATGCAAATTAACTGCCAGCCAAGATGGCGGCTGACAGCCAGGCTACTGACACGAACAGGAGGCTTGCTTGCTTCAGTGACGGAGGACTCCAACGTTCCCCGCCTGCTGCTGCTGGGCTCTGAGCTGCTAAGAAACATTGTTACAAATATAGAAGCTAAACAAAACCCCAGAAGCCTGTTTTCAGTCAGCCAGGATCTCAGAGCTGGAGTCGCAACAAAGTTTCAAATACAGAAAGTAAACAAAGTCAGAAACCTGCTATCAGCAGCGAGGTCTCACAGCTAAAGCTGGCTCTCAACTCCAGTGACAGCCATAAATCCAAGAATAAAAAGGAAAAAAGGAGCAGTTGGGAGCTTCCATCACCCGCCAGCCTGAAAACGGCCCTCAGCCCCTCACCCAGACTGGCCAAGCACCTCAGTGGGGACCCCACCCTGAAGGGGGTGTGACCAGATGCAAACAGCCATCATCGCCTCATCCAGGCTGGCCAGGCCCCCCAGTGGGGACCTCCACCCTGATCCAGGACACCCTTCAGGGCAAACCAGCCGGCCCCCACCCATGCACCAGGCCTCTATCCTATATAGTAAAAGGGTAATATGCCTCCCAGCACCAGGATCAGCGGAGCTGCTAGGCCTCCCAGCACCGGGATCAGAGTGACAGGGGGCAGTGCCCAAACCCCATGATCGGCCTGCGGCTCTGTGTGTGACAGGGGGTGGGGCCACAACCTCCCTATCCGCCCTGCTCTGTTTGTGACAGGGGAAGGCACCCCAACCCCCTGATCAGCCCTTCTCTGTGCCTGATGGGGGGAACTCCCCAACCCCCTGATCGCCCTGCGGCTCTGTGTGTGACAGGGTGCGGCGCCCCAACCCCCTGATTGGCCCTGCTCTGTGTGTGACAGGGTAGAGCCATAACCTCCCCATCGGCCCTGTCCTGAGTGTGACAGTGGCGGCACCCCAACCCCCTAATCGGCCCTGCTCTGTGCCTGATAGGGGGGAACTCCCCAACCCCCTGATGGGCCCTGCTCTGTGTGTGACAGAGTGCAGCCCCCAACCCCCCCATGGGCCCTGCTTTGTGTGTGACAGTGGGTAGTGCCCCAACCCCCTGATCGGCCCTGCTAGTGGGTGACAGGGCTGCACCCCAACCTCCCTATCGATCATGCCTTGAGTGTGACAGGGGGCGGTGCCCCAACCCCCCAATTGGCCCTACCCTGAGTGTGACTGAGGGTGGCATCACAACCTCCTGATCTGCCCTGCTCTGTGCATGATAGGGGGGAGCTACCCAACCCCCTGATTGGCCCTGCTCTGTGTGTGACAGGGGCCAGCACCCTAACCTCCTGATCGGCTGGCTCTGTATGTGACAGGGGTGGCACCACAACCCCCTGTTCCACCCTGCTCTGTGCATGACAGGGGGTGGCGCCGCAACCTCCCCATCGACCCTGCCTTGAGTGTGACAGGAGGCACCCCAGCCCCCAAAACGGCCCTACCCTGAGCGTGACTGAGGGTGGCATCACAACCTCCTGATCCGCCCTGCTCATCCGCCCTGCATGACAGGGGGTGGCGCCCCAACTCCCCAATCGGCCCCCAACCAGGGGCTGCGGGGCAGGCACCTAGGGATTGGGCTTGCCCTCTGCCACCCGGGAGTGGGCCTAAGCCAGCAGGTCGTTATCTCCCGAGGGGTCCCAGACTGTGAGAGGGCACAGGTGGGGCTGAGGGACACTCCCCTCCCCCCCCACCAGTGCACAAATTTTTGTGCACCACGCCTCTAGTCTATATATAAAACCCTAATATGCAAATAGACTGAACAATGGAACAATGAAACAACCAAACAACCAGTCGCTATGATTGATGTGTGCTGACCACTGGGGGTGTGCAGGGAACATGGCAGGCGTCGACTGTGGCGGGATGGTGGAGCAGGTGATCAGGGGCGCCAGATCAAGGCAGGGCATCAGTCTCTGTCATCGGGGCGAGCCTCTGGTGGTTACTGAAAATTCTTTGCTCCTGCACTCCACAGTCCCACCTGGCGCTTTCACCTGCTGCCGGCGCCGGCCCTGCTCACACCCGCTGCTGGTACGGGAGCTGCCACTTGCACCCGGTGCTGATGCCAGCCCCAATTGCTCCACAGGGTCAGCGCATGCAAGCAGGGAAGGCGCTGTCAGCGCTTGGGAGCGGCGATGGTGGGAGCGGGGCTGTGGGCAGACAAGGGACTAGGGACCACAGCAGGAGGGGCTGGGCGGGGGCATGGAGGATGGGCTGAGGCCCACCCCTGTGCCCACCGCATTCTCCTGATCCACAGTTCCTTTCAAGGTGCACAAATTCATGCACGGGGCCCCTAGTATGTGTATAAGGGCAAGCCTTAAATTCACCCAGGCTCTTTTCCTTGAAAGTAAGATAATCTTTATTTATGATGAGATTGTTTAACAATGGTATTCCCAGTACTGATTCAGTATCAGAGAAGGAGAGGAGTCAAGGCCCCCAAGGTGTTCAAATGAAAGGTGGGACAATGACCACTGAAGCGTATTCTACATGCTGAGAATATTCTTTGTCATCATGACCACTCCCTTCCCTGACATTCTCTTCATTTCTTTTTGACTGAGTATCATTATATTATAGACATATTTGAAAAGCCCAGCACAGCAATTAGCCACTGTTAGGTATAACAATTGCTATTACTTTTTATAATAGCTATTAGGTTGATAAGGAATGGCAAACTTTATACCCAATAATTCATTTACATGCAATTATATCATTTTATTGAAGTCAGTTACTCTTCATATAAATGTAAAACTTTTACACAAGTGATTTCCATGGTTTTATTTAACTGATGTTTATACAAAATGAATAGGGGTAAGGTCAGTATTTGTGAGAATTAAGAGTTTGATACTGAGTTAACATTGATGTCCTAGTTACCAAGATGCAGAACTGTGGATGGCACTATGGAATGGAGCAACTCACCCGTAAAGAACCACCCCTATCAGTCTTATGCTTAGCATCCTTTCCTTTTCATACCTTTAAATTACTATTTGGTAGACATGATGATGCTAGAGATTCAGAGTGCACAATTGTTGAATATGCAATGATCTCAGATTTGTTTAAATAAGTAATTAAATAAAAAATAATAGAGGTCGTTTTGAAATTGAGTGCATTCTAAAGCCACTGCAAATGAGCATTTCAGTTCATGTGAGTGCACTAATGAGCCATTCATATTTATTTATTGGATGTTCACGGTAAAGGTCAGTTGGTTTCAAAGACCATTGTGTTGATTGCTACAGACATAGAATTAAACAGTCATTTGAACAGACTTTTCTTTGCTTTAGTATAAATAGAATTTAACCTGCTTGAATTGCTTTTTAAAATACACATCAACATTTTAGTAGATATTTGTTGTACCATTAAAATAAATCTAGACTCTACCTTTCAGTGGAATTGAAGCA